GGTTTTCTGGTGGATTATTGGAGATAGGAGTCTCATGATCTCTCCTGCCCGGGCTGGCTTTGAACCTCGATCCTCAGATCTCAGCCTCCTGAGTAGCTAGGATTACAGTCGTGAGCCACCAGCGCCCGGCTCCAGTATTATTCTTAAATGCCTTACGTCTTAACATTCTTCACTTTTCAAGCATCATATTCAAAATAATGTAAATAAGTTTTTAATAAGAACAGTAATAATTGAGCAATGCACGTTTTCTTCTTCACACAACTACTCCCAGGCACAAGGCTCTCAATCAATAATAGAGAGATAGTTTTAGGCATATGTAGTTATATATTAAGGTTACCAAATAACAGTAAAGCATGTTCTTACATAAGTTTATAGAATATTGTTTAATCAATTCTTAAATTAGGATATTAATATTTTTAAGAATGATATAAACATGCATGTTATAATTAAGAATGTTTTTTTACTTGTAGTTAAAAGACACAGATGTCATACTTGCTGATTAATTTTATTTTGCAATGGTTGGATTTAACAGCTATTTGGTAGTTTCAGGAGAAAGATTTAGTATCTCCAAAATGTACTGCTATCTTAAGTGAGTTATAATATTAGAATTGGCAATTTTTTGAAATATACTGTTTGAAGGACATTAGACTTGAATATACTGACATGCAGATCTATAGAGCCATTTAGTATGAACCAAGAAAATTTATCTGCCTGTTTATTTATTTGTAAGTCAGTGTTTGCAATAACTTTAAAGTATTAATATTTACAAATTAAAAACTTAAAATATGGACATTTTTCTTGGCTCATAGAAGATACATTTTGTTTAGCAGGTAAAAATTACAAACCTTGAAATCCACAGAGAAACTAATGAAATGTTTATGTTGAAAATACATTGAAACTTCTGTACGATGTAAATATATGTTCCATGATGGATACCATGTTCACCCTCAGAAATAATTTCCTGGGTTTAAATCTGGGTATTTAAAAGAGAAATAATGAGCCTACATATAATGTAATGGTGGGATGAAGTTGGTAGCATGAGGGGATGAATTCTTGTTCTTCCTTTTATTTCACTTCCTTCTAGTTACTTAAAGAAGATAAAATAATTTCAATCAAATTCCAAACCAAATTCTTCATTTGTGTGAAGTCCATGTCTCAAAAGAACTTTAAAGTTCTTTTATTGGATGTTAGAAGTTTAGTAATTGTGTTTTAGTGACAAATATTCTGAATTAATTATTTTAAATTCCTTAAAATTGTGTATAATTGTATACTATGTAAAATTATACCTATATATAGATTATGCATATATACTTCCATATAAACATATAATTACATCTTCTTCCTCATATTTAGACTTCTCAGAAATATACCTTATTATCTTTTGAATTAATTTATATTATTTATCACTAACATTATCACTAACTTATTCAGATATCTTATGTAATGCATCCTCAACCTAAAATAGAAAGTGTTATTATTTTCAAGGTGATCATAAAATACAGATGGAGTCTAAGGCATAATTGCATCTCTGAGTAGTAAATTTTATGAAAGATTATCACTTAATGCACTGTCTGTTCACAGTGTAGAAACATGGATGCATGTGAAAGTAAAGCAATGCTGTCCAGAAACAGAGAAGTTTCAAAATCAGAGATAGGAAGCACCAAATTCACAAATAGCACACCGACCACAGCTGTTCAGGCTTGTCCAGGATATGAAGAAAATGTGGCCTGATGTACTTTACAAGTATATAAAAGGTCATGGGAAAAATGAGGCATTACACTCATATACTTGTTAAAACTTGTCATTTAAAGTCTGATCAGTTACTTTATTTTTTATATTAATTATTTTGGAATGGAACTATCTTTTAGATGCTAGAGATATCAGAGAATGTCAAATGACCTTTTATTGCCCTTTAAAAAACAGAAATAGAAAATA